CTGCTGCACCAAACTATATATTCACTTCTTAGAGAAAGCCAGGTTCTAAAAATAAAAGGTCAGTTAACAGCAACTGAACTGGCTTTGAAAGCTTGTTTTTGTAGCCATGGAAGACTCTCCTAAAAGAAGGCCAAAACATCAGCAAGAAGAGAGACACTAGGACCCATAGAAAATAGTTGGAAAAGTTTTGGATCATCCATTCCATCCCCCTATCGAATTAGGATTATGCTCTGCGGGACCTGCTCACATGTTTTGTCTAGTCTAGATTTCAGTGTCCAAAGCATGAGGCTTAAAACTAATTCCCTTGTGAAAATCACCTATAGCCAAATAGATCTCTCTCAGAAAGCTTTTCCTGATATTCAGCCTACATTTCTTCTTTTGTCATTGTTGTTGTTCCATCCCACGGCTTCTAATTAATCCTCAGCATCCCAAATAATTCTCCTCTTATTTTGGGGCTTCCACCCTTCAAATATTAGTAAACTATGCCCTTGTCTTCTTCCCAAATCATCCTGGGGGGTAGGAGGAGGGGCATACATGCACATAATCTTTCAGAGTTAAATGTATAGAAATTGGGCCATGCCATCCTAAAATCTCTCTCTAGACATTTACAGGTGAACCTATGTGATACTGTGGTAGCTGTAAATTCAAGCTGCACGCAGGCTTCGCCTTAGGCATTCCAAATATGTGTGTACCATTCATAGTCTTACACTTACTGAAAGTATGTGCAATTTTTTGATTTAACATAATGGGCCGATTCACTGAAGTTTCGTTGCCTGAAAATACTGTCGTGTCTTGAATGTGAAATTGGTCATAGATTCTAGACTCATCTATTTTTTTCTTATGTAGGCTACATGATGCCCAGATCGACTTGTGAATCTAAAAATACAAGAGCAACAAGATAAATTTAAGACACAGTAATATTACCACAACGTCTCCATACAAACAGCTTCTTTAAATTTCTGTCTTTCTTACATTGGTAAACCCATCATTTGAAAAGACACAGCCAGAAAGAAACTGGCAAGCTCTATGGAAATATCAAATCATTCTGGCTGTGTCTAGACTGCATCCCTTTTCCGTAAAAGGGATGCAAATTAGACACATCGCAATTGCAAATGAAGCAGGGATTTAAATCTCCCCCGCTTCATTTGCATAAACATGGCTGCCACTTTTTCCCGGCTCGGAGCTTTGCCGGAAAAAAGCGCCAGTCTAGACGGGGATCTTTCAGAAAATAAAGCCTTTTCCGAAAGATCCTTTATCCCTTTTTTTGAGAGGAATAAGGGATCTTTCGGAAAAGGCTTTATTTTCCAAAAGATCCCCGTCTAGACTGGTGCTTTTTTCCGGCACAGCTCCAAGCTGGAAAAAAGCGGCAGCCATGTTTATGCAAATGAAGCAAGGGGGATTTAAATCTCCACTTCATTTGCAATTGTGATGTGTCTAATTTGCATCCCTTTTATGGAAAAGGGATGCAGTCTAGACACAGCCTCTGTGTGTGCCAGGGGATAGCTGCAAATAATCTGCACATGTGATAAGTGGCCATAATGTACTCTCCAATGGGAAGGTATGAACAGTATGGAGTTTTTGACGAATCCTCCCTTTAGCAGGAGACAGGCTCCAAATCTCCCATTTGACCCAGATATGCAGCTGAAGCTAGATGCTACCTAGACAAGCATCAGGTTCCCAGAGCAGTGTGTTACAGAGAAAAGCTATCCCCAAGTTCCACCTTTTACCTGGTGTGTACTGTGCTCTCTCGCTCTGCCCCACTCACCAACACCCGCCACAACACATCTCTTTTAGCTCACTTCCTACTATGTCACTAGAAAACACAACACCAGGCACCAAACTGGAGGCTGTAGGTCAAAAGTTGCATATGTTTCCAGGTTTGGGGGGGCCACTAAGACCAATGAAGCTAGCTCAGAATGGATGAGTTGTCCCAGGTAACGGTAAGGCCCAGTGTTTCAGATCAAAGTACAGTGCCAACAATTTATGGGGAATATTCTCTGTGTCTCTGCTGGCTTGCTGGGAGCAGGAAATTCTGGGCATTTCACAGGAAAGTCTGTTCTCATCTTGTGAGCTTCTGGACATTGGCTCCAACCCAAATAGGCACAGTCAGATAAAGAGGAAGGACAAAGAAACCGGGCTTGATTGGCCCAAAGCTGCGTGCATAGTTTTCCTCAAGGAGGCAACAAGACTAGCAAGTGGAAGGAAAGCCTTCATATGTTATCAGGTGTGGCTTAGGCACAGACTATGTGGCAGTGTAGGGTGTCAAATCATAGGAAGTGTCTGAAGAGCATTACTACTGCTGTTGTTACTCAGCAGCAGGTTTAGTCCTCAACTGCTTTTCTCCAGCTATGAAGTTTAATTCCCACCTCTTCATTTCTGGAATATGTGGCATGTTAGGTCTCTTCCCCATTTATTGTAGATGCACTGGTGCTCTGATGGGCCCCTGAACAATGAATGCCACCAGGGCCAGATGAAAACATATTGAGACCCTAAGCTATATCATGTTTAAGAGGCCTGCTAGCCTCTAGAAAAAAAGTGTATTATTCTATCAATGGAAATAGAAATAATAAAGTTTTATATTTGCATATATACCAGTATATAGGGTAGGATGCAACTAAAAACAAGTACATTTTTTTCATTTAGAGGCCTCTCATAAACATAGGCTCTAAGCTGTAGTTTACTTAGCTTGTGCATAAATCTGGCACTGAATGCACCACTGCTTTCTCTGAAGCAAATGTGTCACTTAGACAAAGAATTCTGGAGCAAACTAGGGAATTCAAGGCAACCCAAGCTGTGAGTTCACCAGCTCTGACTGAGGAAATGACAGAGACAACAAGTCGTGTGGGCTAAAAGATGCCATTAAGGATGTTAAGGGAGGTTGTGGCATCTCCGTCGCTGGAGATATTTAAGAGCAGGTTAGATAGACATTTATCAGAAATGATTAGACGGTGCTTGGTCCTGCCTTGAGGGCAGAGGACTGGACTTGATGATCTCTCGAGGTCCCTTCTAGTTCTTGTGTTCTATAATTCTATGTGTATGGGATGGGTGAATCTCATCTTTGGTAGATACGGTGATTTCCTGCCATAACTTTGGAAGAATTTATTGAATTCACTTCAAGTATTTTGGGGCTCCATTGTATTAAATGAAAAGTTTATGTACAGTTGTGGGCCAGAACTGTGTGAAACCTCAATCAGAGGGAGGCTTGACAGATGTGAGACCTGGGGTTCAAGGCACTATACTGACCAAAGTGCTACAAAAATGGACTTTTGGAACAGAAAATATTAAGAGATTTTGCAGCAGACTATCTGGAAGAAGGTGAATGCAAATTCCCCTTCTATCGTTATGCAAAAACTCAGCCTTTTGAAACTATGCCCTGAGGAGTGCATAGTCATTGTCTGCTGCTCTCCTGTTATGTGAGGCCAAGATCAAACATCCAAGCTATATAACAGAAAAACATAGTTGTTCTGCTGCTAAATCGGAGATGGCTATGAACTTGAAGCCACAGGGAAAACCCAGTTGTAGGTTTTGAAGGTCTGACGCTTTCCAAAGCCCCAGGCTGGAGTTGAGGTGACCTCTGGTAAGCTTTTTAGCATGCATATTGGTTATTTTATTGTTTTTAATACATTCTTTCTGTAATGCAGCCAGTTACACTGTTCTTAACTCTGGAAAGAAACAAAATCACAGCCACTGGCTGAAAATATCACAATGTGGGCAGGGAATTGGGCAGCCTTTACAAAAATCCAGTCAAAAGAGGAAGAGATGTGGGTCTCTTCCCAAAAAAGGTTATTGTTGAGGAGCTGGGTGCTTAGAGTGGGTGCTCTTGAGAGACCGGGAAGGAGTAAAGCAGGCGCAGTTACCCTGACCAGTGACAACATCTTCAGTTAATGTGCCTATGTATTTTGCCTATTCTCAACGTTTAAGAAACCAACTGTACACAACTGTCTGTGCAAGATGTAGGTGTACAACTGTCAGAGCAAAATGTGTGTGTAAAACTTCATAACCTATGTGTACAATGTGTGTGTAAAACTTCATAACCTATGTGAATGAATATTTACGGCAATCCCACTTGCAAACTGAGTAACTACACATGCAGTTAGGTGACCAGGTTCTTTCATGGAACACTTGCAAGTATAATTACTGGTATAGTACATGAAACACAGTTGCCCAATTGCCCTTCCTGTTATTTTTCTGGAACGTTTGCCCTTCCCACTCCAGCTAATGGATAAATGATGAAAAGCAGTCACTTTGATCCTCACCTTTTCTTGAGGAACAACATCCCAGTGAAAAGCTTTCATTCTTTTCGATGCTGGAGAGAGGTGGGAGGGCTGAGGGAAAGAAGGTGGTGGAGGTGGCATCCCTGCCTGAACTCTGGCAAGCAGAAGCGATGACGAATCTGGGGCTGCTTGTTCTGTGGGGGGAGTAGATTGGAGCGCTGAAGACACACTCAGTACAGCTGCTTCAGAAGCCACAGGGAGACAACGGGCCCCTTCTCTCTGCGTATTTGGAGAGAAGGTGAGTTTTTCATAGACAGCCACTGAGGTGGCTTCGCCAAAGCTTTCCTGCGGTTCCGGGCGATTCTTCCACAGCAGGCAATATCTGCTTATGAGCAATACCCATTCATTCTGGAGCTTGCTAACATCCCCTGCCCTGTTATTCTGGACAGTAAAGGGTATTCGAAACCTAAAATTTAAGAATGACATCTAGATAAACCCAAGACAGTGTAAATAACATGCTGACTAACACAACCACAAGTATTTCTGATTTAAGCAGAACGGTGCTAGACAGCTTTTCTTGTCAAAGAAGACTAGCGCTGCTGACTCTGACCTTTTCAGTCAGAGTTAATTGCTTAGGTTTCTAAAGTTAGAGAGCTGAAGCTTTGCCATATATTGACTTTGTGGTGCAGTTTCCTCATAATTCATCTTCTCCTCATGGAGGAAGATGAGCAATCCCCTCAGTATTACCCTTGTGCTTACAAGCCGGTCAGAAACTATTTTCAATGTCTAAGCTACGGAAGGGTAAATCCCTCCCTGGCCTCTATAGGGATGACTGCATGGTCGTTACACAGGTTTAAATGTACGCATTTGACTCCATTCTGTGGTAATTTGAGACCCACGTATGCAGCTCAAACAATGAGAATTCTTGTGGCATCTTAAAGACTAGCCAGCCTAATAAACTTGTTAGTCTTTAAGGTGCCACCAGACTCCTCTTTGTTTTTGCTGAAACAGACTAACATGTCTACCGCTCTTAAATGTATACACCTCTGTTCCCCAATTATTTTTCCACATGGTTTCAACTGCCTGATTATCCCTGTTGCTGGATTCTACTTTTGGGCATCTACAGACATGGTTATTCAATCTTATTCTTAATTGCCCTGTTAAACCAATTATTAATTTCTAGTTATACTTACAAGTAATTGCATTCCTTGGTCTGGACTGAGAAAGTATCATATCCATTCTCTTTAACGACACTCACATTTCCATCTGACAAATTAATTGTCTTTGCTACTGGTTCTGCATTCTTGTTCTCTCCATTGTTGCCAATGCCATATAAACTCAGTTCTCCTTCATGTAGCTGCACCAAATATCTCAAGGACAAAAGAATAGCAATATCAGAACATTCTTCACATAAGCACTGTCAGCATTAGTCTTGGCTCTAAACAGAAGAAGATTCCTTTACTGAGAAGTGTTCATACTCCCATGACACCTTTCATTCAAGGATCTCAAAGCATCTCAGGAAGGCTTAATCTTAACACCAAACCCATAAAGTAGGTGTAGTCAATAGTCACCAGTGTAATGTCCTGACAGGAATCTTACTCTGTACAATGATGATAACCATTCAGTTATGTGTGTGAGTTCCCCTTGTGTGTTGCACTTCCTCTGCAGATAGCCAGCACAGTAGACTGTGAGAGAACTTCCAAAAACCACAAGATTAGATAAAGCAGGACAGCACCCAGCCAGGTTTACTGTCAAACAAAGCAAAGTCTCCAGTTCCCTGGTTCAGATGTTGACTGTTCTGCTAGAACATGAGTGCCGCCTGACAATGTACTCAGCTCATTTAGTCCTGGGACTCTCTACTGCCCCTTAGCCTGGACAAGGACACCCCCTTAGGATACATTTTTATACATTGGTGCCAACACATTACACATCACTCCTGATATATCAGGGTGACACCCTCAAAAGTGCATAGATTCCACCCACTACTTTGTACACGGTTGTTCAATCAACACATCACTCTCCATCATGCGGTCATCTTAGACCCTAACCTGAACCTGGGTCAGTATGTCCCTGTTATCTGAGGGACGCAATCTGGGACCAAGATGTCTTCTAACAAGGTGTTCTGCTGCCATCCCTCTGGTATGTATTTACGGCTCATGCCTTGTACCTCTTAGATATGAGTGTTTCTGCAATACGAGCTCTGTTCTTGCCAAGTTCTATGAGCAGGACCTGCCTCTGGCTCACAGCTTAACTTTGCTTTACACTAAACACTAAACACTTAACTTTGCTTGACCAATAGGCCTCAGATTAGCCCTGTGATATATGGGATTATCTTTTAGGCTCTCTTCTTACTACAGCAGGCTTTATGACCCCATTTAATATATGGGCAACTGAGGCAAAGGAGATGAATGACTTGCATGATATTACAAGGAACCAATGACAGATCCAGGAGTAAAACCCAGAAGTCTTGACTAACGGGACTATGAACAGTATACATCCCAGTATTTTTGTTACCCCATCTTCCCTACCCCCATCCCCAACTACTTATTTATCTTCTCTGCCTACTGTGTCTTGTCTATTAGATTGTGAAATCTTTGTGGCAAAGACTGTCATCTACTCTATATGGGTATGTCTACACTACCCTCCTAGTTCAAACTAGGAAGGTAATGTAGGCATACCGCACTTGCAAATGAAGCCCGGGATTTGAATTTCCCGGGCTTCATTTGCATAAGCGGGGAGCCGC